CTCAAAATTCATGTGAGTTCTAACCCCTAGTATCTTAGTATCTCAAAATGTGACCTTATTGGGAGATAGAGGTTTTTTGTTTTTTGAGATATAGTCTCACTCTGTTGCCCAGGCTGGAGTACAGCAGCATGCTCACAGCCACCGCAGCCTCCACCTGCTGGGCTCAGATGATCCTTCTGCCTCAGCCTCCTGATAATGTGCCACCATGCCCAACTAATTTTTTGATGTATTGTAGAGACGAGGTCTCACCAAGTTGCCCAGGCTGGTCTCGAACCCCTGAACTTAGGCAATCCTCTTCCTTGGCCACCCAAAGTGCTGGGATTGTAGGCTTGAGCCACCGCCCTGGCCTGGAGACAGGGTTTTTTTTTTTTTTTTTTTTAGTTGGAGTCTCATTCTGTCGCCCAGACTGGAGTGCAGTGGCCACTCCCGGCCACTGCAGCCTCGACCTGCTCTGCTGGGCTCCAGGCGATCCTTCCGCCTCAGCCTTCCAAGTAGCTAGAACTTCAGGCGCGCGCTACCTCGCCCGGCTGATTTTTTTATTTATTGTAGAGATGAGGTCTCACCAAGTTGCCACAAGCTCAGGCAATCCACTCACCTCGGCCTCCCAAAGCGCGGGATTACAGGCTGAGCCACCGAGCCCGGCCTGAGACAGGGTTTATAAAGAGCAGATTCTCTCTCATAACTCTCAGATGGAACCAATTATGTCAACACTTTCATATTGGATTTAGAGTCTCCATAACTGTAAGACAATAAATTTGTGTTGTTTAGGCCAGTGGTCCCCAACCATTTTGGAATCAGGGATTGGTTTCGTAGAAGAAATTTGTCCACGACTGGGGGGGTGGTTTCGGGATGATTTAACTGCATTATGTTTATTGTGCACTTTATTTCTATTATTATTACATTGTCATACATAATGAAATAATTACACAACTCACCATAATGCAGAATCAGTGAGAGCCCCGAGCTTGTTCTCCTGCAACTAGATAGTTCCATCTGGTGGTGATGGGAGACAGTGATACCCAAAGTGTGTTGCTTACTAAAGTGTGTCCAGTCTACTCTGTAATCTCATATTAGTTGCTGCCAGTGCAGAAAACCCTGCTTCACAAAGATAGGGTGTTGGAAACTTGAAAGCAGGCTTTTCAGTGTTGATCTGACAGGAGCCAGAACTCAGGTGGTAATGCAAGTGATGGAGAGTCGCTGTAAATACAGATGAAGCTTGCTCACCTGCCCACTGTTCACCTGCTGTGCAGCCCGGTTCCTAACAGACCGCCAACCAGTCCGTGGCCTAGGGGTTGGGGATCCTTGGTTTAAGTCACCCAGTTTGTGGTACATTGTTATCAAAGCCCTAGCAAAATAACACAATGTATTTTTTTTTTTTTTTGAGTTGGAGTTTTACTTTGTTGCCCATGCTGGAGTGCTATGGCACACTCACGGCCACCCTAGTGGCAATCTGCTGGGCTGTGGCGATCCTTCCGCCTCAGCTTTCCAAGTAGCTGGAACTACAGGCACGTGCCGCCATGCCCAGCTAATTTTTTATTTATTGTAGAGACGAGGTCTCACCAAGTTGCCCGGGCTGGTCTCAAACCCACAGGCTCAGGCAATCCACTCATCTCGGCCTCCCAAAGTACTGGGATTACAGGCTGAGTCACTGAGCCTGGTCACACAATGTATTTTTAAAAGCAACTACTTTGTGAAAAATAACTACATTTTCCAAAACAAATAACAATTAGTGAGAAAAGTGGCATTGTATAACATTTTTTCAAATCTTCTGAATGTCTGGTTTGACTGCAGGCAGCTGGATTTCCATTACTGCTGTTCCTTAATCTGTTTCAATATTCCTCATCCAGTAACCTCTGGAAAACTCTACTGTATATTTGTGAGAAAATGAGAGTGAAAAAAAAAAAAGCCCAACATCTCATTATCACTGTGAACTAGTTTTAAATTCACTGATCTTTTGAAAGGGTTTCAGGAACCCCCCAGAAGTCCATGACCCACACTTTGAGAACTACTACAATAGACAAACTACCTTACAATAAAAAAAGAAAACAAAACAAGTCCCGGAAAAGAAAAAAATAATAGGGTAACATAAACAACAGATATTCAGCACCATTAGAACTAGGAGGCCGGGCTCGGTGGCTCAGCCTGTAATCCCAGCACTTTGGGAGGCCGAGGTGAGTGAATTGCCTGAGCCCGTGGGTTCGAGACCCACCTGGGCAACTTGGCGAGACCTCATCTCTACAATAAATCAAAAATTAGCCAGGCGTGGTAGCGCGTGCCTGTAGTTCCAGCTACTTGGAAGGCTGAGGCGGAAGGATTGCTGGAGCACAGCAGGTTGAGACTGCGGTGGCCGGGAGTGGCCACTGCACTCCAGTCTGGGTGATGGAGTGAGACTCCAACTCACAAAAAAAAAAAGAACTAGGAGGAGCCAGGCATGGTGGCTCATGCCTATGATTTCAGCACTTTGTGAGGCTGTGGTGAGAGGATTGCCTGAGCCCATGGGTTCGAGACCAGCCTGAGCAGTTTGGCAAGACCTCATCTCTACAATAAATAAAAAAATTAGCTGGGCATGGTGATATGTGTCTGTAGTACCAGCTACTCGGGAGGCTGAGGCAGAAGGATCACCTGAGTCCAGCAGATGGAGGCTGTGATGACCATGAGTGTGGCACTGCACTCCAGCCTTGATGACAGATTGAGACTCCAACTCAAAAAAACAAAAAACAAAAAACTAAGAGGACAGTTGAGCCCAGTGATTGCTTCAAAAATGAACACACAGGCTCTTCCTAAGCAGAAGTTAAGATCCCTGCACACATCCCCACCTCTCCACTCCCTGCTGTGAATGGGAAGGCAATAGATCCTTCTGGTACCTTCTCTGTTCAGAGAGAAGAAGATACTTCCCAGAAACTTTTTGGGGTTCCCTGTAGAAGGTGGATTCAGTCTTCTGGAAGGTTGCCTGATCCATGGTTCCCACAGCAGCTGCTGTCACCTCTCAGGTGATTGAAGACGTCTGTTAAAAGTCAAAAATATAGCCAGGCTTGGTGGCTCAGCCTGTCATCCCAGCACTTTGGGAGACCAATGCGAGTGGATTGCCTGAGCTCGCAGGTTCGAGACCAGCCCGGGCAGCTTGGTGAGCCCTCATTTCTACAATAAATCAAAAATTAGCCAGGCATGGTAGCATGTGCCTGTAGTTCTGGCTACTTGGAAGGCTGAGGTGGGGGCATCAGCGGAGCCTAGCAGGTCGACGCTGGGGTGGAGTGGCATGCTCACTGCCTGGGTGACGGAGTGAGACTCCAACTCAAAAAAAAAAAAAAAAAGAAAGAAATTCAAATTTAGTTAAAGAACGAATTGGATTCTATTTGTGGTTCACATATTGGAGCAGCCTCCTTTTTACAGAATAGAGTGAAGACCCGCACTGGGCAATGGCAGCATAGTGGGTTTGTAAGAAGAGCAAGGAAACAGAACAATGGGGAAAAGCTGACAGGCTAACATTGGATTATTTCAGGTTACTTTTTCTGCAAGGGTTATAGGAGAGTGGACTTCCTTTTTATGTAGACTGGCATCTCCTCTTTTCAGGAAAAGCTGGTTTGTTTTATCGGCTTAAAGTTTGTCTGATTACGTGGCATTTAGCATAAGTGACTCCATTTTGCTTTGGTCTGGTCTGAGGAGGGGGAGAGCAGAGCTCAGGGGAAAACACGCCTCCCATGATTTTTGTTTAGCTTGCCTAACACCAGCTTCTCTTCTGACGCTGTTGGACTGGGCCCTATGTGGGGTAACAGGGAGGCGCCTGGCAAGGGGCAGAACGTGCTGGGCCTCAAGGGAGACGGGCGCAGGGGCTCAGCCTGTCATCCCAGCACTTTGGGAGGCCGAGGTGAGAGGATTCCCTGAGCCCGAGGGTTCGAGACCAACCTGGGCAACTTGTTGAGACCTCATCTCTACAATAAATCAAAAATTAGCCAGGTGTGGTGGCGCGTGCCTGTAGCTCCAGCTACTTGGAAGGCTGAAGCCAAAGGATCCCCTGAGCCCCGCAGGTAGAGGCGGCGGTGGACGTGATCACGCCCCTGCACTCCATTCTGGGCAATGGAGTGCGACTCTAACTCAAAAAAAAAAAGAAGGGAAGGGAGAGAGGGACAGAGAAGGGAAGATAGGGATGGGAGACAGTGGGGCTTCCCAGCTGCTCCACTCTCACCCCTTCAATACAGTAAAGGGTCCTGTTTCTGGTTTATTTTCTGTTGAGCCTTATAGGTACGGAGGGCAGGTATCTCTTTTCTTTCCTGCTATGTGCCTGGTTCTTAGTTAAAAATAAATAAGCAGATGGTTGCAGTTTACATGTATCTTGGTGAACATCTAGTTTTTTGTTTTTGATACTTTATAATGGACTTTAACAGACGCGCAGCACACACACACCACACACACAATTGGACGCCCTCTTAGAAGCCTCGTGCCCCTCTGGCCACCGCCCCCGCCCCCCAAGACTATTACATTGTTCAAACCCTTAAACGTGATGCACTGTTGACTCGTGTCTGTGTTGAGTTCAACGGGAGTAGATATGGCCAAGCGGGCCCCAGGACCCTCCAGCACCGGCCTAGGACGGCGAACCCGACGGCTCCTCCTGCCCGCGCAGTCGCCGTGTGGGGGCGGGGGGCGTCCCCGCCCGCCGTGCCTGCGCCCCCACCAGCCGACAGGTGCCTACGGGTCTCCCCTCCTTTTACCGCCCCACCACTAGGACGGGAAGTCCACGCACTCCGCGCCTCTCCACGTACCGGGTTCGCCTCGGGGTCCGCCCTCTCGCCCTTCGCGGGACGGAGGCCACGGGTCACACCGCGCCGAGGGTCGTCCCTCCCGGCGAGCACCGCAGCTCCGTAGCGCCCCCCGCCCCCGAGGCCAGGATGCGCCCATTGGTCGGAGACCCGGTAGCAGCAGCCTCCCATTTGTCAGAGGTCCGGCAAGAGGGCGCTCCCATTGGTCGGCGCTGCGGTCCTCCGCAGGGCCTTCTGGGAGTTGTAGTCGCAACGTCGCTGGCGCGGCCGCCATTGTCCGGCGGCGTCGCGTCGGTGGTCCCTCTGGCTGCGGCGGCTCTCTGGCGTGGGGGTCGCCTCGGGCGCCTGTCCTGGACTCGACGGTCCGGGATGGATCCCGAGGACAACACAGCAGCTGGGGTGGTGGCCGCGGGGCTGCCGGTCGCGCGGCCTCAGGTAACAATGGTAACAATGACCACAGCAGCGGGCTCCGGGCCAGGCGTCCCAGCGGACACCGACCCGTTAGCCTCGCGACGCGCGAGGAGGGCGGCGCGGCTCTCAGGCCCCTCCCCTGCGGGGAAGCTGAGGCACAGATCGGGCGTGGTGGCTGGCCCGACCGGCTAGGGGCGGAGCCGGGATTCGAATCCGGGCCCTGTCCCCCTGGGTGCGCACGTTCCGGGGTGATCCTGGCCCGCCTGGTCTCCGATGGGGCCAGGGGACGGCCATTCCGAGGTGACCGGGACTGGCCTAGCATCTGCGTTCGGCTCCGCCCGGCCGACACCCTTTCCCCCGCCGTGTGACGGGTAACAGTCATCGTGGCGCTGGGCGAGTGCCGAGATGGCGAGCGTTATCGAACAGGGATGCTTTAGTGCTTGGAGTCAGCAGACGCCCGCCGGCATCCCAGCACCGCGAAGCTCCTGCTCTGGAGTGGGGCCCGAATTCTTGGGGGCGAGGATAGGTCACCATGCCCCGAGACCGCGTTATGGGAGCGACTCCGGGGGGTCCCCTGCGGGGCTGTGGGAGAACCGCTGTGCAGGGTGGTTAGTGTTTGCAAGGCCATCTGGTCATCAAAGCACCAATGCTGCTAGATAAAGTGGCTGCTGCTTGTGTGTTCTTCCATTAGTGCTGCCTCGTGTGGCAGGAACCAAAAATAATTCATACCCCCTCAAGTTCTGCAACTTTGAAATTATGTGCTTTCTGGGCTTTTTTATTTATTTGTCTTTGAGTTGGAGTCTCACTCTGTCGCACAGGCTGGAGTGCAGTGGCACACTCACGGCCACCCCAGCGTCGACCTGCTGTGCTCCTGCGATCCTTCTGCCCCCACCTTCCAAGTAGCTGGAACTTCAGGCGGGAGCTACCATGCCCAGCTGATTGTTTCTGATTTATTGTAGAGATGAGTTCTCTCCAGGTTGTCTGGGCTGGTCCAGAACCGTGGACTCAGGCAATCCACTTGCCTCGGCCTCCCAGAATGCTAGGATTACAGGTTGAGCCACGGAGCCCTGCCCTTTCTGGGCTTTTTTGTGCTTAGTTTGTTTATGGAATTTTGCATTCAGATTTGGTACACAAAGTGAGACCAGGTTTTCAGATGTGTGTTATTCCAAATTTGCATGAAATGCTACTGCACTTCAGTTTGTTCTTGAAGTGGATTGGGGGGGGGGGGCAGGGAATTAGTAATAAGAAGGGCCTGTAATCCCAGAACTTTAGGATGCCAAGGGGGTAGGATTGCTTGAGCCCAGGAGTTAGAGACAAGCCAGGGCAATACAGCGAGACTACTATTCTACAAAAGATTTTTTAAAATTAGCTGGGTGTGGTGGTGTGCTCCTGTAGTCCAGGCTGAGGTGAGAGAATAGCTTGAGCCCTGGAGTTTGAAGCTTCAGTGAAGCATGATCATGCCATCACACTCCAGCTTGGGTGACAGAGTGAGACTCTAACTCAATAAAAAAAAAAGAAAAAAAAATGCCTGTGAGAAAATACATTCGTTATCTATAGCCTAGTGGCCTAAAACATAATAACGATCTCACAGTTTCTTGGGAACCCTGGTATGACTTAGTTGGTGGTTCTGGCCTAGGCACTTGAAGTTAAAGTCAAGATGTCAGCCTTGCTTTTGTTACCTGAGACTTGGCTGAGTTTAGAGGATTCACCTCTAGGATGGCTCACTCACATGGCTGTTGGCAGGAGGCCTCAGTTCTTCATGTGGGCCTCTCTGTGGAACCGTTTGGGTATCCTGACAACATGGCGTCTAGCATCCCACAGAGCAAGTGATTCGGGAGAGGCCAAGGTAGATGCTGCAATGCCTTTTGTGACCTGGGTTCAGAGTTCACACTCTGCTGTTTCCACACTATCCTGTTAGTTATACATGTCAACCTTACTTGGTGTAGGAGGGGATTACACAAGGGCTGGATTATACAAGGTGCTTTCTTGGAGCCTGGTCATCACAGGCAGCAAGGACTAGAAATGGAGGGCCATGAGGTTCAGTTGTTTATGTCTACTGTAGCAAATCACTATAAATTTGGTTGCTTAAAAGAAAACACATTTATTCTTATGATTCTAGAGGTCAAAAGCCTGGAATTAATTTTCTGGACTGGAATCAGTGTATGAGAAGAACCACCCTCCCTACTGAGGCTCTATGGAAGAATCTGTTTCCTCATCTTTTCCAGTTTTGAGAGCTGTAGACCTTGCATTCATTCCTTGCCTTACAGATCTTCGTCTATCTTCAGAATTAGCAGTGTAGTATCCTGCTTCAGTGATCACATTTTCTTCTGTCAAATCTCTCTCTGTGTACCTTTTTTTTTTTTTTTTTTTGAGTTGGAGTCACCCAGGCTGGAGTTCAGTGGGGTGTGATCACAGCTCACCACAACCTCAACTTCCTGGGTTCAGGTGATACTTTTGACTTAGCCTCCTTAGTATCTGGGACTAAAGAGGTGTGTGATCACACCCACTAATTTTATTTTTTGAAGAGAAGAGGTCTTGCTATGTTGCCTAGGCTGGTCTTGAACTCCTGGGCTCAAGTGATCTTCCCGCCTTGGCCTCCCAAAGTGCTGGGATTACAGGTGTGAACCACCATGCCCGGTTCCTGTGTGGGCTCCCTCTTATAAAGACACTTGTGATTGCATTTAGGGCCCATGGGTATAATCCAGGATAATCTTGGATAATCCTAACCACATTTGCCCAGTCCCCTTTGCCATATATGGTAAGACTCACAGGTTCTAGGAACTAAGACCTGGATATCTTTGGGAGGAGGCGTTATTTAGCCTACCATAGCCAGACTGAGAGGGGCTATCCAGTATCCAGTGGTGAGAAGAAGCCATCAGATATTTTAAGCAGAACTGGCATGGGATTGAAAAAAACCAATCATTTATCTGGGTTGTAGGGAGAGGAAAGATGCTGACGGCTGAACTAAGGCAGTGGGAAAATGGAGGAAGCGTGGGACTCCATGACCAGGTGCTGGTGGATGCTAGGGTGGGCTGGTCAGCAGTGGAAAAATGTGAATGAGAGACATCTGAGCACAGTCCTGCCCCTCCAGGCCCTAGCAGTGCATGATGAGAGGGAATCTGCAGGGATCTGAGGTGGAGAAGCAAGGAGTGGGCTTCTGCTAGAATTCCAAAAAAGGAGGCCAAGAGGATGTGTGAAAGACTTGTGTGATGTCACCAAGAGGTCTTCTGGCCTAGACAGACAAGTACTCAGTGGACCTGGTGTCTTGACTGTCATCAGTGACTCAAGCAGAGTGGGTGAAGATGGCAAGTGGGGACAGGAGGCACAGGAAGCATGTGTCAGGGTTGGTAGATATTCTGAGTGGCAAGTGAAGACGTAGGCACAGGAGCAGAGACCAACCAAAGGCTGCAACCAAAGGCTGCATTCTGATGTTTTCTGTCAGAGCCACATTGGACCTGTATTAAAATTTCTCTAGCATTAAAATCTCATGTTTTTCTTAAAAGGAAATATCCTTTTTTTTTTTTTTTTGAGTTGGAGTCTCACTTTGTCGCCCAGACTGGAGTGCAGTGGCATGCTCCTGGCCACCGCAGCCTCGACCTGCTGGGCTCCAGCGATCCTTCCGCCTCAGCCTTCCAAGTAGCTGGAACTACAGGTGTGTGCTACCACACCCGGCTAATTTTTTTGATTTATTGTAGAGATGAGGTCTTGCCAAGTTGCCCAGGCGGGTCTCGAATCTGCAGACTCAGGCAATCCACTCACCTCAGCCTCCCAAAGTGCGGGATTACAGGCTGAGCCACTGAGCCCGGCTAGGAAATATCTTATTATGTATTTATTTGAGTCTAAGTCTTACTCTGACACCTAGGCCAGATTGCAGTGTGACAATCACAGCTCACTGCAGCCTTGACCTCCTGGGCTCAGGTTATTCTTGTGGCTCATCCTCCCAAGTAGATGGGGCTACAGGCATGTGTCAGTGAATTTTTCGATTTTTTTTTTGTAGAGATGATGTCTCACTATGTTGCTCAGGCTGGTCTCGAACACTTGGGCTCAAGTGATTCTCCCACCTTGGCCTCCCAAAGTGCTGGGGTTACAAACTGAGCCACCAAGCCTGTCCCCTTATGGGCTCTTAAACTGTCCCACTTCTGTCACATGAGCTTGCCCAGCCCTGAAAGCAGATGATTTTCTGACCCTCAACTTTACACTCCTCTTCAGGGAAGACGGTGAACCTCACTTTGTATATAAGGATTAGTGAGTGTATTAGTTAGTGATAGCTGTATAACAAACTATCCCAAAATGTAGCATCTTACAACAGTAGGTATTCTTTAGCTTACAAACCTGCAAATCAGTGGTTTAGGCTGATCTCTGTTGGCACCCTCACCTGTCTGATCAGTTGCAGGTCAACTGTGGTTGATTTTGTTGATCATGTGGATCCTCTCATGTCCTTGCTGTACAACCCGCACCTACACGTAGTGGCCTAATATTAGGTGCCCAGTGGGACCTGACTCCCGTTACTCAAAATGTACAGGCTTTCAGGACACTGGCCTGCCTGTGTTATTCTACATTCTTCCTTCACCAGAGAGCACTGATGGGGATAATCCAGCTGATTGAGAATGCGTTTGATGTTTCAGGAACTAGTGACCTTCCGGGATGTGGCTGTGGACTTCACCCAGGAGGAGTGGGGGCAGCTGGACCCTACCCAGAGGACCCTTTACCGTGATGTAATGCTGGAGACCTTTGGGCACCTACTCTCTGTAGGTAAGGCCTGTTTCTCGAGTTGCAGTGACTAATTCTTTCTGGGTTATAGGTCATGGGGCCTCTGATGTGAGGACCTGACCTTGGGCTCTCATTCCCTGTGGGGCATGCATGCCAGGGATGTCTGCCCTTTAAGTTCCAGTGCAGAGCCTTCACCTTCTTGTGAGGAGCCCATGTGACCTGAGGGTCAGGATTCTAGGCTGGATCCTAAGCTGGTTCTTTCTTTCCAGAGCAGCCTCCTACCTCCTGTGTCTTTCCCTGTTTCCAGGCCCTGAACTTCCCAAGCCTGAAGTCATCTCCCAGCTGGAGCAAGGAGCTGAGTTATGGGTGGCAGAGATAGGAACCACCCAGGGCCGCCATTCAGGTGAGAACCCACCAAGTGGGAGCTGGAGATACACTTCATGGAAAGTGTGGTGTTTTGGAGGTCCTCAAGACAGTTTTTTTTTGAGTCGGAGTGTCATTCTGTCACCCAAGCTGGAGTGCAGTGGCATGCTTATGGCCACTGCAGCCTCTACCTGCTGGGCTCAGGTGATGCTTCTGCCTCATCCTTCCAAGTAGCTGGAACTACAGGCGCATGCCACCACACCAGGCTAATTTTTGATTTATGGTAGAGATGAGGTCTTGCCAAGTTTCCCAGGCTGATCTTGAACCCCTGGGCTCAGACCGTCCTCTCTCTTCAGCCTCCCAAAGTGTTAGAATTATAGGCTTGAGCCACCGTGCCCAGCCAAGACACTATTTACTGTTAACTCACAGGACTCAGCCTTAAGTTATACTCACAGTTGTGACTGATTATAGCAAAAGGATACAGAGCAAAACCATAGGTGCATAGAGCTAAGTCCAAGGAAATAAGGCACAAACTTCCAGAATCTTCTACTTATGAAGTCACTTATGATGTGCTTAGTTGTATCAACTCGTGAGAAATGTTGTCTACTGTACCAGGAACTTTTGCTGGGGCTGGTCATACAGGCACTCTTTGCCTAGCACAGACCAGAGTTCCAGACTACCAGAAGAAAACCAGTATTTAGATAAACCACATTATGTGCACAAACAGTGTGGATGCCATGAACCATTCTTACCAGTTAGGGTGGTAGGACGCCTCCCCATACCCAGGTGCCCAGGTACAGCCAAGGGCCAACCTTGCAAGCAGGCATCTTTAAGAATGGCAGTCTCAGGCCGGTCAGCAGTCTTCTGCACAGTGATACATAGCCTTCTCACCTGTGCTCCCCTTCTTCTGAGCTCAGAGGGTGTTCTTTTCTCTGGTGGTTGGAATCTCACCTTTTCTCCCTTTCTGTTCCATTTTCCTTTCCAGATTGTTCCCCATCCACCAGCCTTCTCAGCATGCCCTTTCCATGGGACAATTTCTTTTATTTTGAGTTGGAGTCTCACTCTTTCACCCAGGCTGGAGTGCAGTGGCATGCTCACAGCCACCGCAGCCTTGACCTGCTGGACTCAGGTGATCCTTCTGCCTCAGCCTTCCAAGTAGCTGGAAATAAGGCATGCCCCACCATGCCCAGCTAAATTTTTGATTTATTGTAGAGATGAGGTCTCGCCAAGTTGCCTGGACTGGTCTTAACACCGTAGTCACAGGGAATTCTCTTACCTTGGCCTCCCAAAGTGCTGGGATTATCGGCATGAGCTACTGCTCCCAGCCAGGATAATTTCTGATGCATGAACCTGCCCTTCATCTTCTGCACTGCGTTCTTGCATGTCTAGATTTCATAAACCTGTTTCTTACTCCTTCTGGTCTCTTATCAGTAAGGATTGTATTTATCTGTAAATACCTTAAAACCAGGTTAGAGCAGCTCGCAACAAAGAAAGAAGCATTTTTCTCACAAATCCCTTGAGTTTGCTGGCACTGGCTTGGCATCTCAGAGATGCCATGATCAATTGTTCTGTGATTTTCCCAGGCTGTCCTTGGGGTTACAGTGCAGCTGCAGCAGCTCTAGCCATTACATCTGTGCTCCAGGCAGGGAGGAGAGAAGGAAGTGGAAAGAATGGTGTCAGCTATGTCTGTCTTCTTTAGTCAGAGTGCCAAATTTCATCTGTTGGAGTATCCTTGGGCAGGACTGAGTCACCCTCACCTTCACTGCCCCTAGTTGCTAGGAGGCTGGAAAGGGGGCTGTCTAGATTGTCATAATTGACATAGGCAAGTCACGATCCCTGTGGCTGGTATGTTGGTATCATGACCACATGATGCACAGCGTGTAGTGCCTATAGATCAACCTCCCACCCAAATGTTTCTGATGGCCCCAGGGGCTTTCTGATTCCACAGGAAAACATGTGTACCTCCACAATAGGGTATAACCCATTATCTTGGGGTGGGAGTGACTCTGCAGCAGACCCTATGTTCCTGCCCCTTTTATTGATTGTCACTGTTGTTATTTTAAACGTGTATGTCAGAAGCAAATTCTCGTCATCTGGGACACAGGCCTTTGACTCATGGGTCTTATGTTGTACCTAAATCCAAGATCTAAAATATGTGTGCCCATAAATATTAAGCAAAATGTCCTCCTTGTACAACAAGTTAGGCGTAGGGGTCATACTGTTTCAATAACTTAATATCCAGATAATTATAAATACTTCAGAACCAGAAGGTTTTTAGGACTTTATGTTTAAACAGAAATGTATTTTTTGTGTTATACTTTGATTTTGTTTCCTATTGTTCTGTAGTAAAGTACCACAATCTAGGTGACTTAAAGAAAAACACAGATTTATTTTCTCATAGTTCTGAACTTTGGAAGTACAAAATGGTTCATAGGGCTGGTTCCTTCTGGCATTTCTGGTGGAGAATCTGTTTCCTTGTTTTTCCCAGCTTCTGGAGGTTTTCCACAATCTGTGGCTCGTGAGCCATTCCTCCTTCTTCAGAGCACGTCACTCTGACCCCTGTTTCTATCATCACATCCCCGTCTCTGACACTGACCCTCCTGCCTTCTATATGAACCCTCTTTGTAAGATTTAGGAAAAGCTCCCATTTCAAGATTCTTAGCTTAATCACAACTGCTGTGTCCCTTTTGCCACATAAGGTAACATATTTATAGGTACCAGGGATTGGGACATGGTTATCTTTGAGGTCATCATTCAGTCTGCCATGTACTTGATTAAAAGGACAGTATTTTTTTTTTTTTTTTTAAGGAAAATAATTCTCATCCAGGCAGATCTCTACTCTCCAGGCAGTCATGTGCTTTGTTGGATGGGGCTGGCAGGGTGATCTCAAGTTCCTCCTTAGCCCTGTTGCTGACTTGCTTCATTTCTTACTGTTTCTCACCTATGGCTGGTCATCTTTACCTGCTGCAGTCCCAGCTCTTCTCTCAGTTTCTTTCTTCATCAACTACCCACCCTCTCAGCGGGGACGCCGTGGCTTCCCAGATGTCAGTGGTTCTGGAGGCAGCTGGGCCTGTGGCTTTGGCCTTAGGGGCCTCAGGTGGATTTAGGCTGCATCTGGAACCTGACTCAGCCCTGATGCTCTCTGCTGTTCCCAGCCAGCACAGTTCATCCCTCACTAGGAACCTCAAGTCCCTCTCTGAGTCTTCCTCTGCACTCTTCCCATAGGCAGCATTAGTCTCAGCTGGAGTTGGTAGTAATGATGCATTGATCTCTGATATAATCGTCATTGCTGCCTTTCAGCCTGTCTCCTGACTGATGGAGCCTGTTTGGCAGTGCTAAACCATGTCCTGTTCTATGTGCTGTGGATTCAGCAGAGAAAATGACAGCCAGTCCAAGCCCTCACTGTCAGGGACACAGAGTCTGAGAAATGGATGTCAATGCCAGGCAATGATAGGCTATGACCAAGCTGGGACATGAGGGAGTGAGGCAGGCAGGTATCTGGGGACAAAGGTTCTGGGCAGAGAGAGCAGCTTATGCTAGAGGCCCCAGAAAGGAGTGTGGGGTATGTGTTGGGACAGTGAAGAACCTGGTGGGGAGCAGAGTGAGTAAGAGGGGAAGCGGCAGGAGGTGAGGTCAGCAAGAATGTGGTAGAGAAGGGTGCAGAGTAGTGTCCATCATCAGAAGTGGTGTGCAGAGTGCATGGAGGAGAGTGGGTCTGTTTTTGTATAATGGCCTTAGTGAGATTATGATTTGCATACCATAAAATTCACCTTTTAAAGTGTATAATTCAGTGGTTGAGAATACTCACATATTGTTTGCATCCATCACTGTTATCTAATTTCAGAACGTTTCATTACCATCTTAGTTTTGTTGCCAAAACAAAATACTACAGCCTGGGTAGCTTAAACAACAAATATTTATTTCTTATACTTCTGTAGGCTAGAATTCCAAGATCAAGTGCCCCTTCCTTGTTTGCTGAAGGCCGTCTTCTCACTATGACCTCACACAACAGAGAGATAGGAAGCTAGCTCTTTGTTTTCTCATATAAGGGCACTGCTCTCATTATAAAGCCTCCTCCCTCATGACCTAATCACCTCCCAAAGAACATATCTCCAAATACCCTCACATTTGGATATCTGAATTTTGGAAAGATATAAGCATTCATTCAGTCCACAGCAGTCACTCCCCATCTTCCCTAGCCTCTGGCAACCATAAATCTACTTTCTGTCTCTGTGGATTTGCCTATTCTGGGCATTTAATATCAATGGAATCTTAAAATATGCGAGCTTTGTGTCTGACTTCTTTCACTTAGCATAATGTTTTCAAGGTTTACCCATGTTGTGGCATGTGTCCGTACTTTGTTGTTTTTGTGGCAGAATTGCATTCCATTGTATGGACAGACCATGTTTTGTTTATTCATTCATCTGTTGATGGCATTTGGATTGTTTCCTCTTTTTGCTTATTAATGAATAGGGCTGCTATGGACATTCTTGTACAAGTTTTTGTATGGACTGGTTTGTATTTGGTAAGAACCCTCTGGGTGCTATGCAGAGTTGATTTGGGGCCAGAGGTGAGAGAAAGCATGGTGCCTGTCACCTCATCAGTAGTCAAACCATTTGTTCTCTACAGTGTTCACTGAGATGGATATTTTTGAGCATCTACTACCTGTTAGCTCTAGGCACTCTGTGATAAGATAGACCCTGAACAAATAAACACATGACATGTATTTCAGGCAAGGCTAAACAGGTGAGGGGGCTTGAAGGGCTGGGGGAAAGTGGGGAAGCCTGGCCCACAGTGAAGCCCATGTCCTAATCCCCTGAACTGATTATTTTGGATTATTGGGTGGGCCGTTGTAATCACAGAGTCTTTATAAGAAGGAGGCAAGAGAGTCAGAGTCAGAAAAGGAGATATGACAACAGAAGGAGGAGTCATTGAGAGATATCTGAAGAGGTTGAACTGATAGTGTGGAGGTGAAGGAAAGGGTCCAGGAATGCAAGTGGCCTCTAGAAACTGGAGAGGGAAGAAAACCGATTTTCTCTGGTACCTCTAGGAGAAACTAGTGCTGCCGAGTCCTTGAGTTTAGGACTTCTGTATTCAAAACTGAAAGGTAAGTATGTGGTTTGTTTTTGTTTTTGTCTTTGAGTCTCACTCTGTTACCCAGGCTAGAGTGCAGTGGCACGCTCATGATCACCAACCACAGCCTCAACCTGCTGGGCTCAGGCAATCCTTCCACCTTAGCCTTCCAAGTTGCTGGAACTATAGGCACGTGCCACCACACCTGGCTAATTTTTTGATTTATTGTAGAGATGAGGCTGC